CCTACCACTTCAGCATTTTATTAAAAATAATAATAATAATAATAATAATAATAAGGGAGAAATGTGGGATTCACATATAAATCAAGTATAAAAATCAAACGAATATTCATATCTGACCTGATTATAGTTCATAATAAGTGATCAAAACCGAAAGTTTCTGTGATGACTGCCCTTGTACTGTTCACCATGTAAGAACTTATTCACTATGTAAGAACTTGTTCGTTATGCTTCAGAAAATTGGAGACTGATGAAAATTAGGCTTGGGGTGGATTAATGATTGTACATTGAGCATTGAGTCCCCTATACAGAATTTTATTGCTGTTCACAACCATTTGATCAATAAACATGAGAGATGCCCTCTCAAAAAATAAATAAATAAAATAACTAAGGACTACGTCATGTATAGCCAAAAGGGAAGAAACTTCCCACTGGGATACAGGCACGCAGTAATTCAAAGCTAAGATTTCAAAGAAACGATAGGCTCTAATGTATCAGTCTTTAACCAGTGGTTAAAGTGCTCCTGGTAGTAGACAGTAACTTTCCAAGGTATACCTGGGCTTTAAGGAAATGAATATTCAGCTTCTCCAATTCCAGTTATAGTCCCTCTTAAAACTGGTCTTGCTGAATCAAAATCAACTTCTCTTTCAAAATTTTTTCTTTCTCCTACCCACAAAAGAAAGGCATATTTTTTATTTATCCCAAATCCTACCACAGTTCATTACTCCAAGACTTAAAAGCCTCTAAAGTGGCCAAAAGAACAGTTCAAAAACATGACAGCAAAGGAGCTCCCTTAATCAAGCACATAAATCCAACCCATCAATCAAAGTAAGAAATGGGAACTGGTCAGCTTTTACTTCCTATGTTTCATAATTCTTTATCAAATTTTTGGTTGTTGTTTTTAGTAAGTTGCATATTAGAAATCATAAAATCAAGAGAGGACCTTGTTAGAAGAATTTCTTTTTCTCTCTTCATGTGCGAATGTAAGTACATATGTGTATACTCACACATTTTTATAAGCATTGTAACATTAGGATTCTGTGGGGAAAGAAAATTTAAAATACAATTTCAAAAAGTAAAAAGAATTATGCAAAAGTTTTGAAGGTCAAAGAAGAGTTTGCTCATGTATTTTTTAAGTGGATGGCAGAGAATATCAAATCACTGTCATATTTATGTTCCACTGGAAATAACTAAAAGAGTGATGATATAAGTGTTCTTTTTTCAAACACCATACACAAATATGCAAGAAATTAAATCCTTTGAAGCTATTTAACTGTAAGATAAAATTAGATATATTTAATTTTATGTCTCTACCAAATTAGTAGGTGTACACCATTTTGTAAGGGATTCTTTAAGGGATACCACTCGAATATATATGCAGTTCAAGAGCAATGTCATGTTGAAATACATGCTAATGGATTCACACAAAGTTCAAAAAGAATGGAATGTTCATCATGGCTATTTATTTAATCTTAATGAGTTTAACTGCTACCAACGCATTCTCTCTCAACCCTCTAAAACAATATGATCATATGCTCGACTTTGTCAGACATTATATAACACATCATTAAGCATTACTTTTTATTTTCCATTACTCTAAATTTAAGCATTATCCATATTACTTGCTATTCATGTTTCCTGGTTTTTATTACTTCATTTCTGTTTCTCCCATTGTGAAAAAATTTTCTAAAGCTATTTTGATTCTCACTGTTACCAAGGACTAATCCTCATATATGATACAGTTGGCTGTGGAATAGATCTCTGGAATTGCCATTAATAAGACTCAAGCCTTCAACAGCTCGTTTCCTGGATTGATTTCTTGAAACAAATGCTTTATTAAGGATTTTTAACGATTCAAAGTGGAGGGAAAAAAATCCCCTACTCTAGTCACACTCTAGTTTATAATTATATGCATATTTGTTCTTATATGAAATTCCATTTCCCCTCAGTGGAAAATTATAAAAATGGCCAAGGTTGTTTAGATTGATCAAATATCTAAATGATTCTCATTTTAATATTATCTGATGGCAAATTATAGATTGTGCACAGATGATTTCCAATTTGTATGCAACATTAAGTTACTGATTTACTTATTAAGAGACTTTATTTAAAGAACAATTACACAATGATCTCCTTTCAATGCTTTTCTTGATAATTATTAGAAGTAGTATTGAAAATTGCTACAAACTTTGTTCAACTAATCTGTATTATTTCTCCCTAAATTCACCGAGTTGAATGTAAAATGGAGTAAATGATGATAAGTAAAAAGCAGTGAAAGATGCAGAAAGAAATAAAGGTGCAAATGTATAATGAGTATGCTTATGAATTTATCCCTCCTTAAAACTGGCTTAGACATGTGATTCAAGGATCAAATTTAATCTTACCCTTCCTATTTCCTTTCATGTTTCCAAAGGTAATACTAGGTTTCCTGGATCACTAAATCCAAAAAAATAAAAGTATGGCAAAGAAACCAGTCTCGAATAGCAATATACTTTATTGGTTGATTTTTGGACAATGACATTCATTCACTGGGGATGAAAACAATAATTTTTTTTCAAACATTGGAAGAAGTTTCACAAATGTAGTAAGCAAAGAAAACTTATATTGCTGACTAAATTAACATAGGCATCTAATGTAGACTCTTCCCATCTTCCTCTACTATCCCATATTTTGAAAGCTGAAAATCTATGTCACATGCCAATTTTGAACACTGAAAATTTATATCATCAAATAATGGGCCCGTTGATCATAAGACACTTGGAATTGCAATTGGGGCCAAAACTGAGCAGTAAATTGTAGTAGTATTTAATTTAAAAAAAACAAAAAACTGAATTAAAACTTTAGGAAAAAACACTTGAACTTTTATTAAAATAGAAATACTTTAAAAAAATAAAAATAT